AATTCTTAAATAAATTAATAATAAAAAACACCAAAAGAACCGATAAGAATACCGTTAAAGTACCGGACCGATAAGCGGTATCGGTAAGAGTAGTAATACCGATAAAACCTTAACGATACCCATCCCTATTCCTAGCAGGTTGGTACTATACTGTACAACTCCGTGGCTAACAGGTCTTGCCACTCATACAGGTATCAAGACTGCTGAACAGAAGTTGGTATCGACAATTCTTTATCGCATTTTCTTTCTCAGGACACTGCTGAGCGGCAGATATTCCGAGGTTGCATTTGAATTTTTGTGCAAAAAGTGGCTCCTAGCGGCCAAATTCTAAGAGAATTCTCAGAGTCATGACGTTTTCTTAGAATTTCCCCTAAAAGTGACACGAAAATCCCAGTTAATATAAAAGCTATTCCTCAAGATTCCTACCGCTTAAAAGGGCTCCTAAGGCGAGATCTGCTAAGAGCAGGGAAGATGACTTTTAGTGGCTTAGGAGTTCCCCTAAGCAGCTGCACAAAATTTATTTTTTCCTTTTTTCTCCATTTTCTGTGTTTGTAGGATATTTGTTAACAAGTCTTCATAAATAGACCAGCTAGCAATCACAGACATTGATAAAAGCTGAGCCGTGTTACTCTCGTTAAGACCACACTGAGTTGTAACGTTCCAATTTCCTCTTCATTAAGGACATTCCCTTGAGATAGGGCATCTTGTTTTCAATGGGGTCCATATGGGAGTGAAAGTACAAAATATGCCAGCTAGGATATTAATGTGAGCAAATAAGACACGAATCATTATTTGAACAGGTTGTAATGAGGTTAAGTTTTCACAAATTTTAGATTCTAATGTCAGGCTATAACCCCCACAGCTAGCTATTCATTTTCCAGACATTTTCTTGAATGTGAAATATTATTTACAATTATAGTCTGCATAACATTAGAGTGTATAATTATGTTTATTGATTTGAGGGTACATCCTTTGCTCATTATCACCAAAAGTTCAATTTCATCAAACTTGTAGGATCAACCAATCACGGCTTTTGAAATGACGACTCATACCTAGCAACGGGGTCAACCACACCTCCTCACTAAGATAGGATTTTCCATCCATTCCTTGCTCAGAGTTCACTGAAAATGTTCTGGAATCACTTCTAAGCTAAAACTCCTGGCAAGGAATTTTTAGGTTAAGTTAGGAGCTCTCTGAGAGGATTCTCAGAATAGGGGATACGGGCAGTATCCCTTAAAGTATTCCCTGCAGTCCATTAAAGGATGAACAATTTTTACAGTGTCCATTGCTTGAAGGCGAGATTTAAAATGATATAATTCTGTAAAAATGAGTCTGTAAAAATTATAATATTTTTTGTAGTGTATTTTAATATGATTCAAAGCCAAAAGTAAAGCACGTGCTTCAGCAGAAAAAATAGAGCATTGTTTTGGAATATGGATTCCATAGCATTCATGTCCAGTCACCATTGCTGCCATTACACTATTTTCCACTTTTAAACCATTTGTGAATATGGGCATATGAAAAGGGAATTGGTTTCTTATGTCCATATATTGCTGTATATATACATTTGGATGAGTCACTCCTTTCCTCTGATGAGCCAAATCCAAATTGATATTAGGCTTCTTTAATTTCCAAGGAGATATAGAATTATATTGTATTTGATTTAAAGTGTTCAAATTTATATTAAAGTTCTCCAAATGTGGTTTAATGGGAATACCAAAGGATCTAATGCTTTTAGGTTTGCTCTCATACAAAGGAGTAAATTGTGGGTTAAAGACTGTAGAATAGGCTGGATTGGTTTTATTTGCCTTTATTTTTACAGCATATTGCAGTGAAATTTTAATCGTCTATTTTGAAGTGAAGGTTCATTGGCTTCAATGTACAAACTTTGCACTGGTGAAGTTCTAAATGCTCCCAAGGCAAGTCGTAAGCATCTGGGCTGAGTTTCCCGAAACCTTAACGCTACGTCGTTCTTAAGTAACACCTTAAGCTGTACCTTATCATTAATACGTGTTTCCCAAAATGTTCTTAGTTAAGTATCTTACCTTACCTTCTGTAAGTCATATGTTCGGAAGGTTGGTCTGGAGCATAGGCGGCACTAGGGAGGGGCTAGCAGGTGCTTCAGCACCCCCAAGAAAGACCAAAGCACCCCAATAGCACCCCCAACCCCAAAAACAATATCTGGAAGCAATTATATTTTGGCTGTATAGAAAACAGTTTACTAATAAAAATCAAAGTTTTCGTATTCTAATTAATAAATGATAAAATAATTTAAGACAAACATTTTACTCATTACACATATGCGACGTCCAATGTCAGGTCACATAAATTGCAATGTATTAGAATTATTTAGAAAGATGGAGCGTTTCCTTCTGCCAATTAAGCAAACTCGTAATTCTAATTTAATTTGTGAAAATGAGTAGCCTACATAAATTTACCTCAGCCTGAGGTTGACAACGTTTCAGAATCGGATTTTAACTGTACGGAGTCTGACAAAGAGTCTGTTAATGCGTTTGCCTCAGATGCAGAAACGGCAAAAATTAAGGCGTTTCAAATGCACCTCCTTTGCGTAGGTCTGTGCTCTTTAAATGCTGTAATAACCTAATATAAATCACTGACAAACATGCACATGCTCTGATTATAATCATATAGCCTATAGATCATTTTAGATGATGCTTTGTATGCTTTATTTAAGCAGTGAGGTCTTTATTAGGTGTGGTGGAAGGTGTGTGATGATATAGGGATATTTTAATTCCAAAGGCCAAGGGAACTTTATCAGGATGCATATTACCCTGGATTCATGAAATAACTGGCTTTAAAAAATAAAAAGTCTGCCTGACTCTATGGGAATTAGAGAACTACAGTTTCAGAGGGGTATGCAGGAACAATTTTAGCGATTTTAATTTTTAAAAAAGGAAAAATAAATGTAATGTAAGTGTGCTGTGTAATAAGTGAGTAGGAAGAAATGAGAGCTAACAGAAAAAAATAAGTGCAAAATTGTCCTTTATTAACACAAACTATAGCTACTACACCTTGATGAACCCCCCTAAGAAAACTATAAGCTCCATTGGAACAGCAATACCAGTGTTTTGGTAAAACTGTGGTAGGTGGACCTCTGTTTCTCTAGGGGGGTTCGGGGGCATGCTCCCCCGTAAGAAAA